CAAGTGATTTCTGTCCCTTTGAATGTCTCCTCCAGTTGTTCAAAGCCCTTGAAGCCACAGTCTCTTTGTACCCCCCTCCTGATACTTCCAGTGAGAGAAACATGGTTATTTCATGTCTGCTTTTTGCCCCTCTCATATCCTTTCTCCTCTGCTTCCTGTGTTGTCAACAACCCCTGTTGTCAGGGGCAGCAATGTGCCCAGTTAAAAAACAACATTTCCCAGGATCCTCTACAGATAGGGGGCCAGTCAAAGACGTAGGCAGAAAGGGTTACTTGGGGATTCTAGGAAGGCTCTTTAAAGGAGCCTGACATCTAGGGTTCTTAGCCTTTTGTCCCCACCTCCTTCCTTCCTCCTGTGTGGAATGCAGAGGTGATGGCTGGAGCTCTAGCAGCCTTAATAAAACCATAAGACAATTTTGAGGAAGGAAGCCAATGCTAAGGATGGTAGAGAAGAGAGATGAATGAGCTGACTGCCCTTTGACCTTCACCCTGGACAGACAGCTTGCTTTGTCTTTTTCTCCCTGAGAGAAAGTAAATCTAGCACTTGCTGGAGGCACTGTTATTTTGTAATTTCCCTTTATACCCCTTTATATCCAGCTGAACTGATAGAAACCCATGCATCCCTCTCACACTCTATAAATGATTTGTCCAGTGAGAATAGCTAAAATGATACATTTCTGCCATCATTAAAAATTCCAATGTTTTAAGTATGATACATTTTTGAAAGGACAGGGTGGCTAGAAGGGCTAAAAGTCCCTGTAGCAGAAGTCTTTACTTGCAGGATAATCAATCCTGAAAGCAAAAGATAGGCAAGAAAACTGTAATGGATAAGACTGGCCATCACTGTTAGCTTTTCCAATTATACAAGATGCAATAAAACCAGCTTTTGTTGTTGTTGTTGTTGTTGTTTTTTAATCAGAGTAATCCTCTGAGAACAGCCAAGCAGCCCACCCACCCCTCCTTCCTGTGGCCTCGACTTCCTTCTGATCTGTTGTTGGCTTCTCCCTGCCTGAGCTCTGTGGTCTAACCAGAACCCTCCTGAGTCTGGTAGGAGCCCAAACCCTGCCCCGCAGCACTGCCCCGCCCATGGCGCTGGGCAGAGGGTCCTCTGGATCATGGCACAAGTGGCAGCTGCAGGGAAAAACTCCCCACAAAGTGGTACCATTTAAGACTGACATACACGCTGGAGCCAGTGCCCAGGATGCAAAGCCTAAACTCAGAAAGGAGATGGACAATGCACTTGGCGCCTTACTTTGACAGGGCCATTCTGGAGAGGGCAGACGGAGCAAAAGGACACACTTCTCTTGGAGCCCTGCAGAATGACTGTAAAGATCTGGCTTTTGAGACTTGAATACCTCCAGAATCAACAAGGAAAGGTCCTGTTATGTTCCCCCGGGTTTTAGTTTTAAGTGTGTCTTACTTAATATTTTCAATATGAGTCAGCTCCATATACTATGATGATTTTCAAATAACCAGAAGTTGACTGTAGCTGGCTTTAAGACAGGAAGCATGAGTACAGAATCCAGCTGCTTCCACCCCGGGGGCAGGTCTGAATTCAGTGGTCCTGTATTTTCTGGCTCGTGGCCTCAGTCGGCTGGATGATGCACAGAACTCTCGTGGGCCCCTGCTTTTCCTGACTCTCCTCTCCTGATGGGGGTAAGGGGCTCTCCCATCACCAATGCACTCCTTGAAGCAACTGCTCTGCCTGATATGCCCGCCTGGGAATCCTGGACCTCCAGTGAGTTGAGTAACTGGCCATCCTTTCTACCTTCCAGGGTGGGTATGTGTGTATGTTGGGAGGAGGGGGTTAAAGGTAATATACAGAAAGTTACTGCCATATGGTTGGAGCTGAATGAAATGGGAGCTGTTCTCACTGTGATGATGTGAAGGGTAAGTATGAGGACGATGATGGTCATGATGATGGTCGTGACATCTAGAACCCCAGGTATTCCTGGAGAGAACCAAGAAGCACTTCCCATTCACCTAATCAATAAATATCCTGCAAATACAGAACATGCCATGTAATTCATGACACAGACAGGATCTTACTCCGGGGGCATGAGAGCCAATTCCTTCTGGATTCCCAGGGTTCAGGACCCAGGGAGAGATGGGAAGGCGTGTGGGTATATTTCTAAATCACTGAATGTGTACTTAATGGCTGTTGAGTCTCCTTGTAACTTGTGTGCCAATTATCACTGATCTTTACAAAGACCCTCGAGGGTGGTGCTATTATATTCCCATTTCACGATGGTGAAGGTTGGACACCAAGAAGTTAAGAAACTTGCCCAAACTGCCAAACAGAGGGACACACACACACACACACACACCTATCGGGTACCATGGAAACCTCATGGCAAGAGGTAATGAGAGCCCAGGTCGGGGTGTTGACTAGGAGTGGAGAGTGGGGGACCAGGCCAGCAAGCCATAGCCAGTCCCCAGGCTGAGGGTGCCACGACCACAGGGCACCGGGCAACTTCCAAATATTATCAAACTCTCAGCATTTGCTTGTTTGTTTGTTTGCTTTTGACGTAGATGTCCTTTTAAAACGTCTGCTCAGTTTCTGTCGTAGAATGTTTCCCTCTTTACTCCCTGCCTGCATCCGCACTTAGAATCAGCATCTTTGGGCAGTTAGAAAAACATGACAACGCAGCAAATCACGTTACTAAATGCTCTCTTTTCAGACCTAGCCGTGGCCTTATTTCTGACCTTTTTAAATGACTCTTTCTCCTGATTACAGAAATGATAACAGCAGTTCATCACAGGCTTATGTCTCATGGGACAGAGGTCAGTGGACCTCTAGCATCCATACAACTGCCTGACTTCTACATGACAGAATCAATGTCTAGGATAAAATCAGTCACTTCAAAGCCACTTCCCAACAGTGCTTATCCGGGAGGATTTAAAGACAGTGATAAACACAAGTTTGATACCCGGTGTGGTCTCTGAAATGAGGACAGGAGAAAGTGCAGGCAGACATGGAACACAGAGGCACCTCCTAAGGCATTTCTCCTTTTACGGGCTCTTCTCTCCATGAAGATGGCATTTCTCTGAGCGCTTATGAAGATTACTCACCAAGAAAAAGACACTGGGCAGGTCTCCCACCTTGGAAACCCCTGGTCTCTGCCTGGCTGAGGCCCCAGGTTGACACCTGTATGGCTGTGGCTCAGCCTTGGAACACCGCTGATCCCACTGCAGTCGCAGGATCTTGCTTGAAAACGTCAAGACACTAACTCGGGGAGCCCAGATACCTTTAGGGTAACAGGTAAGAAGAGAAGCTAGCAGAGCTAACATTGAGGGGGTCCCTTCTGAGTCCAGACCCTCTTCTACGCACTTGGCAGACGCTGGTTCTCTGAGTCCTCCCAGGCGTCCCCAGAAGGGTGGTGTCACGCACGGTCTGGAAGCCCAAGGCTATCAGAGCCTTGAGACATGAGGGTTCATCAGGGCCTGTGACCCAAAGAATATGGGATCCCTAACAACAGTCATCAGAACACAAGAAATCAGTCCCGGGCAGGTCAGCAGAACTTAGTTGGGGGGATGGATTCAAACAGGCCTGCACTGGGCCCTTGAGCTGCTAGCCTGCAACCCAATCATTAATTTTTTTTTAAATTTTCTTAATAGTTTTCTCATTTTATAGATAAGAAGGATAAAACTGGAGGGAGGTTTTCTTCCTCGGAATCCCGCTCTCGGATTTTAAGCTGACAATCTTCCCAAGCCACGTGTCACCTGCAGCACTTGGGCTTTGAAGCTCACACGGTGACCGCCTCTCCCACTGGGTCCCTCAGCCAGGACAGCTTCAGCCCTGGGCCACGCCAGCCTCTCATAAACTCTGGATTCTTAATTGAACCAACCGTATACTCAACCAATCCGGTCACGGTATAACCTAAAAACCATCAACGTCAGCCAAAGGAGATGGTCCGGCACAGGGAACCCCTCCAGCCACACATGGCAGAACTGGGACCGAAGCTGGAGGCGTCACCAAAACAGGGGAGGCATCCAAAGTTGGTTTTAACGGAAGACCAAACAGCTGAATCCTCCTAGAGGGGGCCCGCCAGCCACCACACGGGTGCTGGGGGCAAATCGAATGTTCTCTCAGCTGCTCCAATTTTAGAAAGCAGGTGCTGACTCATTATTGACCCAGGAAGCCCACACACTCAAATGACTGTACTGAAAAAGCTCTGTCATACCCTGCTTACTGCTGTGCAGATTTTAAAGCAAATTTGAAAATTGTTTACCATAAGGTATTTATGACATTTTAACCGTTTCATTTACAGTAAGCAGACGACGTTCGAAAAAAAAAAAAGTTTCCTGTATCTTACTTGACAGTAAAGCTAAGCGTTATCAGAATGTTAACAGCTTGAGAAACACATACGGAGGTCAAGTCAGGTCTCAGAACCACTCGATTCCCCCTTCCTCACCCCCTGCCCCCCAGTCCGCGGAATCATTTTCTTTCTGATTTTACTATTGTGTGTGACTTACAGTGTTAAGGAAAGGCGAGAGACACCAGATAAGCTCCTGGAATCTTTCTCATGCTCGTAGAGAGAAAAGCCAAAATTCTGCCTCTTTATTGTATTTCTTGCACTAAACGTGGGCAGCTCAGACCACGCGGCCAGAAATTGCTTAGAAGCTGTCTTTCCTCCGCCTCCGAGAAGCGGAAGCCAGCCCGGCCTCAGCACCCCTGAGTTAGTCACCCACCTCCACCTCTGAACTTCCCTTCGGCTCCACAGAGGAGTCTCAAACAGCTTTTAAACCAGCCGAGCATCACTGTCTCCTCGGTAATACAGGATGAACATTCTCACAATGAACCGCTAAGAAACTCCAAACAATCAGGCTCACAGACAGTAGCTACAGGGAACGAGGGCAGAGAGCCACCTTTCTAAAGTCAAAGATCTTCAACGTCTGAACGGAACACAGTATCCACTCCAAGACCCCTCAGCTTTCCTAGAGCTGAGACTCTGAGGCAGACTGCAGAAATGAACATGAAAGTGACAGAAACCTACTCACCAGGGAGAAGCTGAGGGCTCCACCTTCCCAGGACCAGGCTGCGAAGATGTGAGAACAGATGTTGGCTCAGGCACAGCCCGCCTGGAATGTCAGTTTGAAACTTAAAAAGCAGCTACCATACAGTCAGTTATTTCCCTCCATTCCCAATGATGTCCACACGATTGAGACTCAAAAAAAAAAAGGCGCACACCTCAATCTTCATTCTCATTGGAACGAGATGACTCATGCTGACTCACAGCCACCACTTCCTCTCCCGACATTCTCTTCATACTTGTGAGCTGGGCTGGTCCCGTTCCCAGGGTCTTTGCAGCCCTTCCTGGAAGAACAGCCTTCCTGACCCCAGCAAGCAGACCCAGCCACTGCCCTACATGTAGCCCTGGGAGCCTACGCTAGGGAAATGCTTTATTTAGGAGATCTGGGAACAGCTGAAATAGAAAATGCATGAACTTCCTATGCATTTGAACCTCCAATAGACACTGAAATTTTGTAACGGATTGCAAAACTCCTGCACTAAAAACTGCTCTTTTCAGAGCATTTCAGGGGGAGAGAGGAATGAGGTATTATCTTCTCCTACCAGGAGGTTAGTTTGCCCTTAGTCATGCTTATTTCAGTGCATGTTTTCTCCTGCACCTCTTCCTCTGATAGAGTAATAAATCACGGGCTCTAAAATCATGATCTCTTCAAAGCTATTTATTAAGACGTTGTATGCCCTGTTTTTAGGATCAAGGGATGTACAAACTCTCTTCAATCCATCTTTCAGGCTTCAAGACTATGCCAGAGTTGAATATTCAAGTCCCAAGGGATGAAATGAAAGTAGAACCCTGGCAATTTTAAAAACCGTTGATGAATGTTTCCATGCAAGAACTGAGACTAGCTTCAGCCTCCCAGTTTTCTTTGGAATGATCCCGGGGGTGGGGCAGCTTTCCACAGCTTCCCACATTTTTAAATTATGAGAGGCAATGGAAGAGCAGAATCTGTGTGACGTTGAGCAACCAGGAAGCGTGGCTGTGGCTGCATCAGGCCCACCCTGGTTTCTGGAGGGTGACCCATGAAAGACCACGGGTGAACACTGGTGCCCTTCACCCTTTCTAACTTAGTACCTGTCACTGTGCAGGCCACACTCTGATACCCCTAAAGCACAGAGGGCAAATGAGGAAATGATGCCCTGGAAGAGGACAGAAGACCCGGGCAAGCGGCATCTGTGTGCACCCGGGAGGGGTCAGGAAACCTATTCTCCATTTACAACTGGATTCATTTTAGGGAAATAATACTTGTTCGTTACTCTAGACCTCAGTTCTTTCAACAGGACAATCGGGGCATTTTCTATCAGACAGCACCAAGTGCTTTGAGGTCCCTGTGAAAGTTGTAGTATATTAGTCAACTGGCCAAATATTCGTGTTTCTGGCAATGTTTTGGTTTTTGATTTTTTTCCAGGAGAGTGGAAAGCCTGTTGGTTTTCTGGAATTTCAGCAGAGCTATGTTGTGCAATTCGTTGCAGTGTGTTTTCTTTGGGGGGAGAGTGGGGATGGGGGTGGGTGCGGTGGGCTTGTGAGCAGCCTGTCCTAAAGGGACACATCTTAGGACATGAGGGTCTAGCAGCCCCACGAGAAGCAGGCATTGATGCCAGGAGGCTGTGAGGGCTATTGAAGCAGGGATTGTGAATTGTTATTTTTGTGCTATATGTAGAAATCCAGCCTCTACTTATGAAGACTTGTATTAGGTCAACTCATTAATCCCTGGGGGAACTGAAAACTTATTAATTGAAAATAAAACACCAGGAATGAATTAAAGAAATTTGAAATAGTTGGGAAAGGTAGGCTCCAAGGGACAGCCACCCCCTCCTGCCAGAAGTGCCCTACCAGAGGCGTCATTGCTTTACCAGTGGTTTCTTCCTCAGCCACGCTGTTTCAGTGAAGCTTCCGGAGTCGTCCAGGGCAAGGCCTCCTCTTATAGCAGGAGCCTCGAGCCACCACTGTGGAAGGACAGTGGAACTGTGTTCTCCATGTCGTGTTGCATCGGATAATCCCAGGAATACTGTGTCAATTCCTGACTGCCCCTCCTTCCAAAGCTCTTCTCATCCGGGCCAGGAAGTGGGAAAGGGCACCGGTGTGAGAAGGGGCTGCCATCAATACATTCATAAATAAATCATTTATTAAGGCAAATCAGCACCACCTCCCATGATGGTTAATACGGAATGTTCTAGAGAGGATTCACTTCTGCATAGTTCACCAGAAAGGAACCAATGATGACATTTTAAACGTGGCTACATGGAAACACGTTTTAAACGTCGGCATGCTTTCTCCCCAATGAAGATAGCACTGGAAGAATTTAGGTTTCCGTGACTTAGGAAAATAAACAGGTTTCACTCCTAAAGACAGCGAACGGTCTGAAGACAGTGCGTACTAGCATTGTCACAGGATTCTTACAAATACTGATGGCTCACATGTAAGAGTATTTAATATGTGCCGGTCAGTCTCCTAAACACACACAGGAATTATGACCTCTGATCCTTAAAATAGCCCTATGAGGAAGGTAGCGACATCATCCCCACGTCTAGCAAGGACTCCGAGGCACAGAGAAGGCCAGGAGCCTGCCCAGGGTTGCAGAGCCCAGATGTGAACCCAGGCCGTTTGGTGTCAGAGGCCACATTCCTAACCACCAGGCCACAGGGATTCCCAGGAAGGACTTTTTAAAAAACCTTTGCCCATACATCCCCTTACCGCCTGATGTGTTCTCCCAAATTCTGCAGATATGTGTAAGGTAGACGTACTTTCTATTCATTAGAGAAGTGAATAAAAACCCTAGCCTTGAAGTGCCCTACCCCTTAAGATGGTAACAATTCTCATTAACGGAAAGAGTCAATTAGGATTATCCCCTGACACTTCCCAAAGAGTCCCATGAAGCTGCACGTGCCAAGACGGTGCTCGCCCCACATGAGACACAAGGGTGGCAGGGAATATCCTCAGCGGTCCTCCTTTCACTTGACTAACGGATCTCATCACCACCCCCCTTTGAGGGAGAAGATCCGTCCCTCATTTCAAATCGAGCCCTTCCCCCTCTCTCCACCTCACTTCTTCTCCAGGATTTTGCTCCTAATCACACATAGGCCCTCTCCCTCCATCATCCTTAACCTTTTCCTGTCCACGGGCCTAAACACAGGCCCAAGTCTCCTCTATCTGCAAAACACCCTCCCTGGCCTTTGACCCTGTGAAGCAGACCCCATGGATGCCCCCATATTCATTCCATCCCTCCCTGTTGGCAGCAGCCTTGACGTTTGGTTGGAATTGACTCCACAACCCATACCCAAGGGATAAATTTGATTGGATGAAGCAAAACAAGAGAATCCCACTGTGACTGATTCTGGGTTGGGGTCCCGGGCCCACGTCAATTAGGACATCACTACTTTTAGCCATGGTGACGGGCTCAAGGGTATTGCCATTGCCTCAGGGATGACAGAGAAGAACGCACAGAACTAAAGAGTCTCATTCTTGCTTTTAAGTTTCAAAAGTCGAGGACAGGGTATTATGAAGAGAGAAGAAAAGACTGTAGGAGTCGGTGAAGCCAGGTAACAATACACAGCTGTGCATGTTGTACACTGCACAACCCCACGGGGTAAGTTCCCCTATAAGTGGCAGGGCTGGTCACAGTACCTCTCTATGATCCCACAGGCTGGGCAATGAAGAGAGCTGGGGGAAAGGAACAGAGAAAAGAGTGTGAACCCCGCCCCCAACCCCAATGGCTTGGGACAGAGAAGCTGTGCCACTCACCCCAGAGCAGCTCAGGGACTCTTAGAACAATGGGACATGATGGACATTGGAATGATGGGAGGTTAGAGTTTAATTGGCAGTGTTTTTTCCATCCTTGGTGGAGCTGAACTCAGTGGTGCTTTTAAAATTGAGGGCATCTTCAATTAGATGGAATATAGTCTGTAAAGCCAGGAGGCTGGAGGAGTTCCCAGAAGAGCGAGGGTAGAAAAAGGAAGCAAGAACTGAGCCCAGGGCCCTGCATCTTTCAGGGGTAGGGGGGTGACGAGGAGTCAGCAGGAAAGAAATGGAGGCGGCGTCGGGAGGAGCGGACAAGGTGGGAGGAAGACAAGTGAAGAAGGGGCTTTAAGAGGAGAGAACGATCCCCTGTAAATCACTGCTGAGAGGTCACGTGAGGTGGGGACGGAGAGCGTCAGTGAGTTCGGCAAGAGGAGGTCTCGTTGGGGAGGATGGGGTGAAGGTCTGGGTGGAGTTGGAGAAAGGGTGAGAGAGACAGAAGACAGTGAGAAGAGACACCGCTTTCGAGAAATGGAGCTAAAACTGGAGGGGAAATGGGGTCACGAGAAATTTCCTTTTCCGTAAGATGAGAGAAATAATAGCTCGTCTGTAAACTCACTGAAAGAAATGATTTACCAGAAAGGAAAAAAAATTGATGCTACAGGAGAGAACCAGAGGGAAAAAGAATTTGGTCCAGTAGGAGGAAGGACCAGACCTACTGCACATGGGGAAGGCTTGGCCTCCGCGAGGGGGACCTCATGGGCAACACAGGACGCTGACCTGTGGGGAGGGCCAATGCAGACCTGATTTACATGCTCTTGTATGTTTCATCATTTGTAATAAAAGAAAAATGACACCAATTTTTAAAATGCAGTGACAAGTAGTACACGATTATAGTCTTTCTATGAAAAACCCTAAAACATTACAGACTAACGTCCCCTTTGATGGGGAGGTGGCACTTTTCACTATGGTAATGCGTTAGAGGGACAGAAGAGGTAGGATTTGGGTTGTGGAGAAGAAGCATAGGAAAGGGAAGACAGTTCCTAGAGAGGATTGCCAGCGGTGGCCCAGGTTGGATGGAGGGTCAAGCCCAGTTCCCCAAAGGGAAGGCTGCTGGGTAAATATCAGTGAGGTAGAGTATGCCCTGCTGTGGGGCTGGACACCACAGACGGACTCCAAGGGGATACTCTGCAAAGAGCTGGGGAAGGCTGGGCACAGAGCTTCCTGGGCTCTGCTGGGAAATGACTGAGGACGCAAAAGTACTACTGTACTCCAAAATAGCCTCAGCACACTCACATGCGCGCACCTGGCCTTGAGATCCACCCAAGTTATGTGTATCAATATTTGCTTCTTTTTCTTTCTAAGGCTCTTCCATTGCATGGATATACCATTGGTTGTTTACCCATTCACCTGTTGAAGGACTGAACTGGTGTTGACAAAGAAAGCTGCCGGGAACATTTGTGCACAGGTTTTCGCATGGACACGGGTTTTTATTTCTCTGTTGTAAATTCCCAGCAGTGGGATTGCTGATTCATATGGCACCAGATATATAGCTACAGATATAGGTATCTTTATCTCTATAAGGTGTATATAGATAGAGCGATATCTTTCTAAGAAACTGC